AATTATATTTAAAAGAAAAAAAGAAGAGAGTCTAAGCTGGAGACAATGCTCAAACAACTGGACAATCATTTCATATAGTTCGTAGAAAAAAGAAAATCAATAAAGTTCTCAAATACTTACAAACTGTATTCAGGAGCAGAGCCATCTTCACAAGTAACAGTAAGTCTTGAGTGTTTCTTATGGTTGTGGTGGGTCAGAGGACGATGAGGAGTCTTGGATGGGCAACCCTGAAATTCAATTTAAATGTGAAACGGTTTCTCCTCAATAGAGTTACGTGTTCATCAGAAGCATCAAGACAATCGTTCCAGCCATCACACTTGACATTAGCAGGTACACATACGTTCGTGGAAGCACATCGGAATTCAGTAGATGAGCAGACAACGGCTGAAACAAACTTCTTCTTTTTTCATTTCTTCTATAGAATCTGAGGAGTATTTGAGCTTTCATCCTTCAATTCCATTTATTCAACGGCAAGAAAAAAAAAACCACTTCGTCGCATATCAATCCGTGGAATTTTGGTAAACAAACAGAAAGGTCAACGAAATGTTGCCAAGTTCTTTTTTTTCAGACAAAAAAACGGTTTGTTTGTATTTCCTCAGTATAATTCTATCAAAGAATTGGATCTAACATACCTGTGCAGTTTGCTTCATCATCGCCATCAGGACATTGAGTGATGCGATCACAGAACTGTGAAACAGGTAGACAATGACCGGATTTGCAAGCACGTTCTCCTTCAGGACATTCAGAAGATTCCAAGGGAACGGAATCGGCTGTGATTCGGACCTTCACAAGTATTTGTATCTTTGTATACAATCTACTAACAAACCTCAAAAGTGGCGTTGACTGGTAACCCTTGGATTTGGATTTTATATGCTCCCGCGTCCTCTTTCGTGGCATCAACAATTCTTAGGAAATATTCATCTCCGGAACGGTAAACTGTCAAACGATCATCATCGGACAGAGAAAGTGCGTTCTCGCCGATTATTTCTTCATCGCGAGACCAGATAACCTGCAGAAAACAAGGACAGTGTTGCGGAAGCTTTGATTGAAGTTTTGACGTACCTGATGGTTCCCATCAAGCATATCAATGATGGCAGAGAGATGAATAATTCCTCCGACTGGTACAGAAAATACTTTATCTGTTTGATAAATGACCGGAATGTGGTGCTTACACTTAGCTGGAACAACTACGATTATAGAGCCATGTCTTACAAGATACCGAATTTCGAGCTTTCATCGCTTCCATCAGGACAGTCCCTATGGTGGTTGCATCTCAAAGTGGACGAAATGCAAGTACCGTCAGAGCATTGGAATTCCAAAGCAGAACAATTATTGTTCAGAACTGAAAAAAGAATATTCATTTCATAAGCGCTATGCTTTCAAAAGGAGACAAATGGATGTTACTGACTCAAAACTTTCTTTTCAACTGAAAACTCAAAAACATATGGAAAATATGCTTATGTTTAGAAATGAAGATACTTTCATTCTTCATTTTTTCTGCTTCAATTTCTCTCATTTTTTCTCTGTTCGAAATATTCCAACAATAGAGTACACAAGGTTTTCTGTCGGTTAACGCTGACACGAGAACGACTCAGAGCACAAACGAAGCAACACGACGATAAAACTTCGGCAGAGAAATGAGTTTGTTACGATCCCATTCAAGACGTTTTTGAGAGAAAGGATAAAAATGTCATCAAATCTATTGATATCAACGACATTTCTTTAGTGCAAGAAAAAAAAAGCGAGAGAACAATAAGCGGAAGCTCATTTGCGGACCTTGAGCGGAGTGGAACTCGAATCCATCTGTAGCTACAGCATAGCTCCCAATGAATCCATGATCCAAGGCTTTAAGAAAAGTTTTGCGAACGGCTCCAGTATCCTCATCAGAATATATGTCAAAGGAGACTAATGTTCCGATAATTTGATGATAGCTAAAAAGGAAGAAACTCATGTTTGATGCTCTAACCCGATGACAGGTGTTCTAGGTGACTAGACGAACCTAAACTTGGAAACAGAAGATCGGTGTTCACCAGGTAGATTCTCGAGAAGTTCATCGACAGCAAGAGTCAAATGCTTAGAGGTAGATAAGAAGTCATCAGAGCCAGCTCTTCTTAGTTCAGGCGAATAAGGTAAATCGGGTAAGTTTATGGTAATACGATAGAGAATCGATAGCGATAAAGCTACCGAAATCGGTAAGACCATTTAGGATCTGAGAGATGGCACCAAGCCGAATGGAATATTCAATTCGTTTATGATAGGTGAAATAAATGGATTGAGCTAAGAGCTCGTACTCTATCTCCTCTGAACTTGGATAGCTTAGATGATCGACGATGAAGAGAACGAAGCAACGTAAGGGAGGGGGGTGGTGCAACCTCTTCGGTACGAGATCTTCAGCTAGATCTAACCATCCCTCAGGGTGGGCGGAGTCCTGATACCATCATCACAATGTTTGAATAGGCCGACGGAAGGAACAACCAGAGCTGCATCATATAGGACAGTGCACAATGACGATACAGGCAGTCAGAGGAAGAGGGATAGAGAATCGTATAGAGCTTATAAAAATAGAAGAGAGAAGGAGTGAAAGGCTGAAAATATTCGAACCTTATAGATGCATAAAAAAGGAAATATACAGTGAACTATGAGAGATTGGAACAGAGAGATAGAGATGGAGCAATAGCAGCATAACCAAACGAATGACGCAATGAGAGATTTTAGAAATAAAATTTAAATGAAAGAAACAAGTTTCATCGTTCCTTGGGTGTCGATTTCCACTCCGAGGGGCATGACATCAAAAGATTCGCTTATGAATATTGTGAGTATTACGTGAACGAAACATAAGCTTTTGATACAAAAAGTCAAATATAAGATGAAAGGTATAGCTCAAGAAACATCAAAATGTATATTTTCCCCATTCCTAATAGGAATTTGATTATCTTCACATGCATATTAGTACGCAAAGATCCATGACCTTGTAATCAAAACAGTAAATAAGATGATCTTCAAAAGGGACCGCAATTTCCTCTGTTTAACCCCCGAAATATTCAAATTCAAAATGTGATGAGCAAAAGAAATTCAAATGTTGATCGCATCATTATGAGTGCGTGAGTGTTATTACGTGACTGACGTGAAGTTCACGTAAAAAACGTACGTGGCAACTCAGCGCCATTTTTACGTTAAGTATCATGAGGAAGCGGTTGCATATCAACAAAATAATTAAATCATAAGGATTACCTTCAATAGTGTCCGGCGGTCTCAAAAGAGCTTCAGAATCCAATTCAGGTGCTATTTCATCTACTTCTTCTAACAGTTCATCACTTCCAGACGATTCAATGGGCCAGCCAATCGCATTATTAGGAATAAGTAATAGACAGATAAAGCTTATCAGGAGTAATTGGATTGAAAATCCTTTTTTACAATTACAAAACACCTTCATAGATATATTTATAACATATGAGCAGGTAATTAATAAAAAAAAATTAAACAGTTATTAAAAATATACAGCAAAGTAGAAATCAGGGAGAAGACGGTTGAATGAATGAACTTTCTAGCACAATTTCCTTCGATCTTTCTCTCTTACTTTTCTAAACCATAGAGAGATGGGAGGGAATTAGAGTGAATGACAAGAGTAAATGGATCCAGAAGAGTGTTCAAGTTAGCTAATGAGAGAAAGACACTGATGAATTAAGATGATGATATTGGAGGTAAGGAGGAGCTCTCATTGGATAATGAGTAAGAGATGGAGAAATATCCATCTTTATTACTTCATAACAAGAGAATTATAGATGAAAAGATTCGTGCCACATACCTCAGACGGATTTAGAGAAAAATGATAGATTTCCACAGGTAACTTATAAACATAAAGAGATAATTAGAGAAAAAGAGACATAGAGATGATAAGCGAAAGAGGATTCAGATCAACTACATGATGATAACGGCGGAGAAAATAATCAACAATGATGAGGTAAACTATGAACGACGACGCTGGCCGTGTTCATCCGAACATGAGACAACTAGAAGATGCTGGATTATCATTATCTCTCATCCCTCGAAACCGTATATGAACGCCTTAGGTTAGTCTATTTGTTATATTTTTAGAATACGATTGATTACGAGATGATAAAAAGGTCGATGAGGACATGGGGGGAATGAGAGTAGTACATGAGAAGGATGACTGTATGATTTCATCTTCATTAGCGAAACCCTCAATCAACATTTATATTTAAATAATAGAATGTGGAGCAGCAATCTATGATGTTGATAATGATGTTGATGACTGACTGTACCCTTTAACTGATTTGAATGATAATTGGCGGCAAATATGTTTTGAGCTCCAAGTTCACGTCACCCCTCCTTTTTTGGCGCTAATTAAGTAATCAGCTGTTATTCCACCCACACTCTATTGCTCATCACAATTTCGAAATAGTCAATAAACAAATAGTATAAGGTTATTGATTATCCCAGAAATCTAATTTGGAGTCTTTCATGACTTTCCGAATAGCTTGTGTCGTAATTATTGATTGGGAATGAATAGATATAGATGATTCATATTCTAGAATGTCTTCGAGGAGTTGAGAGTATTTCTGAGTCAGAAGGCGATATGATTTGGTGGGAAAGTACCTGAGTATTGTTTTGATGAAAGCGAATAAGTGTTGAAAGAGAATGAATTGAAAGGATATACTAGAGGTATTCCGTATTAACCATTAACATTTACAATAAATGAGACAGTTATATCTTCCAATGAGTTTCCTTATGAGACGTCTGACTGAACGGTAGTTTCAAATTTCTTTTTTTATACTGAAGATATGAAATGTTACTTCAATGATTGTCTTTTATGGTCAAAGATGAATCAGTGTGTGAAAGTGGATCATCTGTCTTGCTAGTGTTTGCATTGAAACGTTTACAATAAATATTAATTTATTGGAACAATCGAATTATCTTATTTTACATTTTTTTTCAAAAGGAACCGTAAAGCCATGTTTTCGTTTCATTAAGAAGAGAGTTTATTGACCATCTAGGGGAACGATCTTTTCAGCGTTGTTGGTAGAGGGGGTGGTAGTATCCTCAGCTGTAGCGGCTTCGTAAATCTTCTTCAATTCAGGAATGACTTCAGTTTGGGCGAATTCAGAAGCAGCTTCAGCTTTCTTTAATATAAACTCAGCTAGATGGAAGATAGAAAGAGTAAGCGTGTACCTCAGATATCCACTCTTTGATATTTCTATGAGTCTCAGGATCTTGGAGAGTTGATTTGGCATCATTGAACTTTTCTCTGCACAGATCAAGTAAGAAGGAAGAAGCTTAAAGAGTTCGCTCACCTAACAGCTGGTCCAGCGGTTTCACGAAGCCAGTCACCTGCAGAAGAAAGACCGCTTGAAGCAGAGGAAACAACATCATCCCACCAATCAGCTTGGGTAGCAACAGCAATACTTAGAAGAAGGAATAGAACCTTGGAATTCATGTTGGTCACCTGAATATAATGAGTAGAGTATTAGAGACGTTAAGGAAGAAGTAAATGAGAATGAAATGGGTGTGAGCAATTGTGTGTTTACCCAAAAAAGGAGGACAAAGATATGACCCAAGGAACGATTAGAGGTACTGAGCTCTATTGTCTTATGAGGTGAGAAAAGTGACACATGGCCGGAGGGCAATCTCAGAACGTCAGGAGACGTGTGAAGAGACAGAATGAGAGATAGACGAGATTAAGAAAAAGTGAGGAAACGTCATATTATGTCATTATTGTCATCATTGAGACAACTGACTTGCACAGATTATGTTTCATTAATGATTGAAATAGACAGAGATGAAGCTTCCTTTTAATCATTTTAAATTTCAAATGTTGCAACCTATGATTTTGAGAATAATATGAAATCGTTGACAGCTAGAAATAATTTGAATAACGAAGAGCACATTCAGGGTTCAAACAATTCAATAAGGCTTTGGTGTGATGGGAAGAGACTGCGACTGTCCAGGAAACTTGGTGTTTGAATAGAAGAGCAAACAGCAATGCTTTTTTATTCTTACAAAATTGGAACGTTTAAAACGCAAAATGGCCAAATACCAAATGATTGGTGTGATTTCAATCATTCGGATGAACTGAGAGCAGGTTGTTTAACAGTTTATTCATTGAATACAAGTTATAGTTAGAAGAGGACAAGTGGACACAAATTGGAAAACAATCTGTTTTTATCAAAAGTTCCAGAAAGAAAATGAATCATTGAGGGACAAGTGTATTGGGTGAGTACCTTGCAAAGAGAGTGAGGAAGGCAAGTTGGAACGAAGATTTTGATCAACAGTTCGTCAATTTCTCTTTTTTTGTTCACAAAATTTCGTTGATGAGAAGAGAAAAGCAAATTGAGAAGAAAGCGTTGAATGAGCAATCAACGAAATTTAAGCCGTTTTTTCAACTTTCTTTTCTTGAAAGAAAAAAAAAAGAATTTCAGCATTTGATAGGACGAATAAACGGCATTGCAAAACGACGCATCAGATGATAGCAAGATGGAGAACTAAAAATCTTTGTTGCTGAACTTAAGCTTGTCTTTGACATGTCGTTAAATGAGTCATCATAGCGACGGTAACGATGAACGAAGCGTTGTAGCTGATAAGACGAACAGGATGAGAGTGAAAGAGAGAAAGAGGGAGAGAGAGAGAGAATGAAACAGAAAGACAGAGGCAGAGAGTAGAAGAGGGTAGAAAACTGGTTGAACATGCATCCATTCATCCCAACAAAAATCTATGTTGAACCTTCAGTACAGGACTTGTCTCCATATGGTGGCAGATCAGCTTAGTTCAAAGTGTTCAGACAAATCTTTTCATATTTTTTCCGTTCAGAAAAAGAGAGGGGGAGTCGTAAATAAAAGGATAAAAAAGAAAAACCATTCTAATATTAAAGATAAACAATTGAAATCTGATAATGACAGTTTGGAAAATCTGCGTGAAAGCGGAAGAGGGAGATATTTGGAAACTGTGGTAGAGAGAATAAGATTAACGCAATTTCATTAATCTTACAGAGTTGATAAACGATCTGATAATTAAAGAACATAAATATTGTATTCAGATGGCTGATGGCATACTAACACTACTAGCCGCGTGCCGACCATAAAGTTACAGCATAGGCTGTAGTTTTGTGGACAGCTGAGAAGTGTGAAGGCTATCATTTTGCTTTTGCAAAGTAGAGGAAGCAATAGAGATATACAGAGAGATAGAGAAGGATGAACGGATCCATTACTAGATGGAGAGCAACAGAAGTTTGAACAAAGCGAAAACTACAAGACGATTCGAATGCAACGAGCATCAACAAAGACATCTAATCCATCATTCTCTGAGCAAATATATCACTTAAGGAAATATTGCCTTAGGCTATTCTCACCTGTGTATTGTGAGATTAAGGCTAACAGACAGCAAAGAATTTTGCTTCAAAATTTTTAAATGTGGCAGTATCATTCAATGTTTCAATGAAAAAACTAGTTTTCAACTCATAAATTCAAATTCTGGAATTGTATTCGTACCATATCTCTTATAGTACTCGAGAACTGTAGTTTGGATGTCTCATAAATCATCAGAAACTAATAAGTTTCTATTAATCAATAATGGCTATATTAAGAGTAATACGATAAGTGGACGGAAAGGTGTTGCAGAAGTACTTGATCTCTAATGCATATTACAAAACAAATATATAATAATGTTGAGAGGAAAGTCTCCAAAAAAGCTATGGACTTTCCATTACAAAAATGAAATTCAACTTTGAATCTTATGTGATTTGTGAGAAAGAAAACAAAATCTGCTCCTCTCCCCTTCACACAATCACGTCAGATGTGAAAGTAAGAACAAAAAATAAATAAAACATGAGAAAAGTGAATCAAAAACATGTGTCTGTTCCGAATTTTCGTGACAAATCATTCAATTAACATAAAATTCATTCATTCAAATCAATCAGAAGACCTTCAAACTATTGAACTGACTGGCGTTCTGAGAAATCAAAAAAATCAATTGACCATGTTAGTCCTTCTGATAAACAATCAATCATTTTCAAAATTGATAACTATTACGTTAACAAAGGAATAATTAAATATTTATTTGCAACGAGATTAACATGATTACACGATGATAGCGATTTAGCGCGCTTTTTAATCGCATCCGTTTGAATTATGCTTAACAGTCATTTAAAGCTTGCATGCGATGAGGAACGGTTGTGTTGTATATGTCTGGCTCCACAATTCTCTGACTTTCATGGTGAGTGATTTTCATTTATTTATTTCATTTTGTTTTTGCAGCCAAAACCTTTTAAGATGAAGGTTGATGAAATAGAACTGTCTTTCGAATTTGACATCAACACAGCAGGGTAGATATTCAAAGTCTGCCGATAGATGAATGATTTGTCGGCTGGCCATTCATGGAAATGGGTATGTTAATTTATGAGTTTAAAATCGTTTGTTCGTTCATCTTTACCACAAGCGGTGTGGTGAGGTAGTTTTGAGCTCCAGACTGACGACAATTATGAGACTATATTGTCTTCCAGAAAGAGAGGAAGAAGAAAATTTTATTGTCGGAAATGTTGAATAGACGAATTATATTCTAGGATGATGTCACCATGTAGAGAGTTTACGACGAGCCACTATAGCACCGACAATTTTTATTATGAGGAATTGGAAAAGGTGACCTCTTGGATGATTGGGTGTAGCCGTTAATAACAGTAAACCTCATTCATGATTCAAAGTAAGTTTTGCTTCTGCATATACAGCATGTTTTTCCTATTCAATCTGTCTTACATCTTGATGCTTAGACCATCCTATTCGGTTGTTATGTGGTTTCATCCAAAAGAATTGGAATAGTGGGATGAGCTGCTTAAGAGTTTATTCAAATGAGACAAACGGTGAATGGTTGTTTTTTCTGGCCCACCGGCAGTTCGGTTAATTGCTTGTCTGAATATCTATTCTATTCATTTGTTGTCATGATGTTGTTGTCTTGTCCTCATCAATTTCCAACATATCCGGAGGTTGAAACTGGATTTTGACCTTTTCTTTATTTATTTTTCTTTTCAACGATCGTCATCCTTCGTTGATATATATATTCTTGCTGTCTCTATTATTAAAGGTAGTATAGCGGTAAAGGAAACAAGATTATTAAATAAGACAAATCAAGCCGTCGGCAAATTGAAAACGTTGATTCAGTTTCCCTTACGTAAGATTAGGTCAGACGCTCGAGTTGGTAATTTTTCTCGAATTTGAAAAGTTTTTGAATATTTGAAAATAAGAAGAGATGACATAGTTTATTGTCAGTTTTAGTTGTTATGCAATTGCTTTTCATTAGCCTATGGTTGCTTGAATGAACCGAAACCTGGTCGATGTAATCGTGAAATATCTTTTGAAATTTGATTGAGATGATGGGAAATGTCAGTTGAGCTGACTTAGCCTATTTCGAGTAATGTTGGACAAGCTAGTGAACACAAGATTTTCCAGTTTGTTTATCTTACACCATGTTTCTAATTAAAGCTATTTCATCTGTGTAGTCCTTTTTTCTTGGTTCTCTTGTCGTTTTTTGTATTCAGTGTGGAAAGTTGAGTGATGCCTGAATCTATTGGATTGTCTTACAATCATTAGTTCTGGCTACTGTCCAGATAGTCTTCTATCCGTTTTTTCCTTTTCCGGTTATGTGGGTCAGTAGAAGGAGAGGGTGGCTCGGACAACGTTATCTCTTTTCGTTTTTCAGCCCTTGATGTCTTCTAATTTTGTATTTAGTCATCAACCGTTAGAGACATTTGGCCTTAGCTCTTATGTTTTCTGTCTGTCACTTTTGGGGTTAGTTAGTCATTGAAATAGAAAAAAAAAATTAACTGATCAAAATACAATTCTCAGGAGATTGAAATTGATATTTCAAACCTCCGACGTTCATCTACCATATGATCTGTATGACAGTGAGGTATAAATTTTGTTCTGAGTGAAAGCGAAATCAGCCAACAAAATTCTGATCTGGTTTGCCATTTTTTTGAAAATAGAATGTCTTCGAATGAAACCCAAGTTCTATCATTATACTATTTTTTGTTCTCGGTATTCATTGCTAGCTTGTAGGATTCATCAGACAAAGACATGAGAGACTTTCTAAGTGCTTTTTGGAAGTTTTTTTTGGCGGTTGTTTAAACAGTTACAAGGTGGGGAAGTTTGTTAAAAGCTGACAAGTTTTCCCTCAGGCGGATTAGTTCTCGTCTGTCTGACCTGATCTTCCAATATTTGTAAGAATTTCAAAACAACTTTTAGTGTCTTGTCATGTGTACCTTTTCTATTCGCCTCATGAATTACATTAGAAGGAATACAGATGTTGAATGTCCTAAGGTACTGATTGAAATCTTCTATAGCATATGCCAGGTGTCATGGCTAATAGGCTTGAAATTGCTTGCCGTTCGTTTCCCATTTAAATCGCTTTCGAAATTTCCCTTCTGTTCGCATTTCGTTCACCTGACTTTCAAGATGACAATGATTAGTATGATTGTCAGATTAACTGTTAAAGACAAACCTGCGACATGAATATCTCTGAGGAGCTGTCAAGCAGATAGTTAGATAGGGTAGGTAAGGCGGGAGGAAAAGAAGGCGCGATGAAGAAGACGATGTTAGAAAGACCTCTGACCCAGTTCCTTCTAGCCCGATGTCATGCCTGCGCTCTTCGCCTTTTCCTTAATTCTTCGTTGCATTGCATTCCGCTTTCACGTCCGTATTGAAGTCTATCTGATGAGAAGAAGAAAAAAAGCTTGGCTAGCTCTTGAGGTCTTCCCCCCCCCCCTATTATTCTGCTAGTTGATGCATTCGTCTAGGCTAGGATGAAAATAATTTTGTTGTGATACAGTAACCACATCCAGCTTCTCGTTCTGATCATCTCTCCCTCAAAAGTTTTGGCCAGCAGTGTTTCTATTCTCGTATAACCGCGAATGTCTTACCCTTGCATATCTCCAGTTTCTTCTTCCTCATCTTCATTTCTTCTTCTAAATCGTAGCTAATGTAGTATGCGAGGAGCCGGATTCACAGGCCATTTGGCTAATGGTCTTTGTATAACTTCTGTCAAAAGAAATTCTAAATTTTTGGTCAAAAGCATCATATTGTGAAGAAATGAACATTCGGTTTAGAGGCATCATCTTCAATTATTATTTCCTATTGTACAATCGAAAAACGAATTGAGTTGTTCGTCGAAACTTTTTTTTTATTCAACACACTCTGTCTTTTTTGATTATGGTTGTCGCGAAAATACGGCTTTGCCCATTCAATACTTTTGTTATCTCAGCTAAAGTTGTATCTCATAAAAGATTTAAAAGCCTTGACCTTCTATTGGAAATTTCGATGACTTTAGGTGTGTTCTTCAGACCTCGTCTACTCTCGTGTTTCTTGTACTCTCATGCGTATTCACTCTATTTCTTTATCATTCCATAAATGGCTGCCCTATAACATAAACTTTAAAAACTTCTGCCTGTTGCACAATGCCCAATGACCGTCGTGAGAACTTTTTGCTGCCTGAATAGGCTGTGAGATGAAAGCTTTTCATAAGAATAGAGAGCTACAACAATCACATTCATCCTACGTAATCCTCTCCCATTAATTGCCTCAACATCTCTTGACCATATAAGAACCCGCTAATCCGTTGCCGATCGTGAAATCAACACCCTTCATCGCTAAATCGTTTGTCTTTCAAACCCTGTCCAACTCTCGGTTCGGTAAGTAAAAGACGAAACTTCAAGATTACTGAAGCAGATAGGTGGATTAGAAATCTTCTGTGCCTGAAAAAAACACCGTCTGGTCTTTGTTGTTCAAGAGATTATGATCATTCATGTCTCCTGAACTTTTTTGGAAACGGAAATTGTTGTGTGCGAGATCACATTGAGGTTGCAACCGATCAAGCTGTCTCTAATACTCAAATGAAATACATTATGTATTGAATGAGGACGCTCACGTATTAGCCACGTTTCACGTGAAATTAGAATATTCGTTGAAACTAGTATTAACGTTACGATACCCTGCTTGATATACTATATTCATACTGTTTTTCTAGCTAACTATATGAAACTGTTTAACTATATAACGTCAGCTCACGATGTGATTGAAGAGTTTTTGCGCTAACGATCCTTTAGTCTAACTGATTTCTCTTCATAATTGTTGGTGATAATGACTGATTGGATGAATGATATGACATGTTCTATCAGATAATAATCCGTTTGATTCCTATGTCATTCGTTTGTTTTCTATCAGAAACCTCTCTTCTCTCTTCACTTCTGAAGACGTTTATAATTAAAATAAAGTTCAGAAAACTTGTGAAGGTGTCCAGCTATTATCCACTTTTGAATGAGGATGTCATGAAGGAAAAGCTTTTTTCGCATCTTCATACGGTCTCTCATAAACCATCATTGCCTCAAACCTTTACATTATCTTTCCTATCATTCTACATACAGTGCTTCAGATTAAAATATTGTATTATCTTTCCTCTCCACAATCATCTTGAAAGATCAAGAAAGACAATCATCATCATCATAACCTCTACCTCTTTTCTCATCTTCCGCTTTTATCTATAACTCCTATCTTCTCGCGTCCTTGGCAAAATGCTTGCGTAAGTCTACTCCAGTATCCATCCTTAATACCTCCATGCAAGACACCCAGATATCTTCCCCAATATAGATCTTCATATCGTTACCACAAACAGTCTTCGTTTACTATGTTTTTGAGTTCGTTTCTTGTTCACTTTCAAATCTCCATCCCCCTCCTCCTCCAGTTATTATTCAGTTTCCTTTTTTGGTTGTGCAAATCGTAAGTTTGTAACACTCTCTCTTCCTTCATCATTTGATCGTCTAAATCCATCTCATTGTCCGATTTTACTTTCGAAGTTTCATTGCCGATTATGTTGAAAGTCCTGTTGCACGGATACAGTTTAACTATGTGTGGTATGGCTAACTATATATCTTCCGGTTATTCATCCTTTCAGTATAGTATCCTCGTTTTCAATTTTTTGTTTTTGATGAAACAAAACCTCCGTCAAATACCTTAATCTTGATTCTTTACTTCTGCAACTTCTACAGTTCTTGTTCCAGTTCCATACTTGATTGTCCATCTTCTACCAAATGTTTCTTATACTTTGCATTTTTCGTTTTTCATCTGTCCTCAGGGGCTCAACCTCTTTCACAATTATTTCCATTAATCAACCTTTTTTTGTATTGACCTTTAGCCGAGAAAAATCTCAAATCAAAGTATTCATTTCCGTTCTTTCATCTTCCATCATACCCTTTTTCTCATATTCCTTGATGTTTCAACTATTATGGTTTCATTGTTACAGATGCCGTGGAGGCACTCCCTTCCGTTCCTTCTGCTATTGTTAGCTGGATCTGCTTTAGCCCATGTTCGATTAACATACCCATTAGCAAGATCACCTTCACTAGACTTTTTTTCAAGCCGTAACTCACAAGGAGCCTGTGGTACTCTCAAGCCAGAAGGAAATGACGGTATGTTGTTGATCACTTTATCACACGGTTCGCAAACTTTCACGTTACTTGATCTCCACGTTCATACGTGAGCTCCACGTGAAAAACGTGAGTTCATTTTTAAATGAAAAAACATAGAATGCGGCTGTATACAAGTTTGTGATGATCTTATAACATTGGATGTTACAGGTGTACGAACTTATTTGGAAGCTGGTTCAATTATCGACATTGAATGGTTCACGGCTATTCCACATATGGTACGTAAATTGTTAAAGAAAGTTTTTTTTTGAGCGGAATAGGGTTGTTAACAATCTATTTATCTTTATCTCTCATCTCTTCCGCAACTAGTAAGGCTTAGCTCTTCCTAGGCCAAGGTTACTCTGGAGGCCACACCATGTCTTATTACTTTACTTATTTATAAGAATAATCAAAATCAGATCTTGGGAATAGTATATTAGATAGAAAACAATTAAAAAGAGCTGACAAATGTTTGACGTGACATGTTATAGGGAGGAATTCGATTGGAAGTTTTAAACGCCCTCGATGAGCCAATTGCTATTTTCACTAATTTCCGTGATGAATACAATGTGACGTATGTTTTGAGATTATGCAGGATAGTAACAAGTTGTATTATTAAGTCAAACATCCAAGAGTGTTGAATTACCTCCTCACTTCGAATGTATGAACTGCGCGATCAGATTAACTCATCAAGCTACAGAGTATGGAGACGACTACTTCTTCTACAGTTGCGCTGATGTGAACATCGTAAAAGGTAGGTGCATTTAATGTTTCAAAAAAGGTCGAAAAGTAACAAGTTTTTGTGTGAATCCGTACACATATGTAAGTCAGTCAGAGTTATTTGTAAAAGACCTTGGGCAGACGTTTTTTCAAACGCAATATTCAGTTAAATGAATAGGTTGTCGTTTTTCAATCATTTGGCGCATTTGTATGAATATTGAGAAACTATTTGTTATGGTCAATGACGATTAGTTTTTGACAGAAGTCGTTATCGGGCAATTCCTTTTCGATTGAAATGGCTGAAAAGACAGTAAAATTTTTTCATTTCATGTTCTGGTCATCGGATGACCAGAAATGTTTTGAGAGTGGTGGGTTAGACGGTAATAGACAAATTTCCTGACCTGAGAATTTACACGCAATAGCCGAAAGAAAAAAGTGAGAGAGAATGAAACGGCGATTGAAATTTTTTGTTGAAATTGGGGTCGTTCACATTAGAAATAACTCTGTTGATCACGCTTCTTGTTGGGTTTCTTTCATTCAGATTGAATTAGAAAGCGAAATCGTAAAAGCTGAAAAGCTGAACCGATCATCAATCCACAGGATATACACACATTCAAAATTACAATTTTCAGCAATCCCCGACGGTGACTCATGCCTTGGAAGAGGTAAACGTGTCGGAGGAAAATGTGAATGTACACAGGGTTACACTGGAAGCCAATGCCAACACGCCGGTCAGTCTATCGTTTTTTCGACGAATCAATGAATATGTTGTTGTAGAAGAATGCACTTCAAATGATGATTGCGGTGTTCAAGGAGTTTGCAAGAAAAACGCTGATGATCCAAAATCACAATGTTTCTGCCCTATTGGACGACATGGCGAACGCTGCGAAAAAGGTTTTTCTCTCAATTGAGGTTTCACGTGAAGTTAACCCGATAATTAAGAATCGAACGTGTTCCGTTCTCTTTCTGACTTCGATGAGTCCTTGTACAACATGAGGGAGGCTAAAGACAATAAAATCTATTGGAGAATTCTCAGGGTATCCATTGAATAGGTGTATCATACTTAACACATGTAATTAAGGATGAAATCGAGATGGTTCTTCGTTATCCGGGACAATCTTGGGCCGCTATCGGAGTGAAACCAACAGATTTCGTTTGTGAATCTATCATTCCTCTTGCCGATTGTGAGTGAACTTCTCAGTTCTCAGAGTAATTCAATGTTTTTGTAGCCAAATCTCATTTGAGAAAGATCGAAATCAAGGTTCCTGAACATACTGCTGTTTCAAACAACAGTGTCATTCAAAATGCTGTGGATAGAGAGTCGACTGACAGTGGTGAACAGTGCTCTCCAAATGAAGTTTGGACTGAATGCGCTGAAACTTCTCGTGATTGTGAAGCTTCTTGCGATTGGACTCGCTTCCCAGAAACTATTCCAAACTGTCCAAGACAGTGCGGAACTCCAAGATGTGTTTGTAAAGAGGGCTACGTCCGCATGACAAATGAGGAAGATGCTTGTGTTCCTTTCGAATTCTGTGACAAGGAGGTTTGTTGTGTTCTAATTGTTTTTCTGATCCATTCGGTTTCAGCAAGAACCATCTTGCCCTTCGAACTCTACTTTCGCTAAATGTGGAACAGCTTGTGAGCCAAGTTGTGCCAACATGTACGACACTGCTCCTTGCCCAGCTTCTTGCGAAAAACCAGATTGTACCTGCGCAGATAACTATGTTCGTCACAATGGTCAATGCATTTATTGGGGAGATTGTCCAGACCTGGATAGTCATTTCCACACAGATGAATCCGAGTCTTCGACTGAAGTCGTCAAGAGCTCTCAACCTGTAACAGTTGAAGTTAGAGCGGAATCAAGCACCAACGCCCCTGTCACCATGACAACTTCACGTTTCAAATCTGTACCTATCGTTCCTCTTACCTGTGGAGTTAACGAGACAATCAACGAATGCGGAAACGTTTGTGAAGCTGACTGTCAGACTATTTTCACTAGAGATGAATGTAATGAATGTGGAGATCCTGGGTGTGCTTGCTTACAAGGTCATGCTCGTAATGCTGAAGGATTATGCGTGTACTGGGGAGAATGCCCTATGGAAAGTGAGTTCTTATTTTTTAAATATAATATTAATTGTTCCTTTTTTAGCCACAACTTCTTCAACTATACCACCAAGCTCTACAACTTCTGCTCCTCGCACAACTCAAAGAAAAGACATGAAGCCTAAAGTAGATGGTGACGTCTGCTATGGCGAGTTCCGTTTCCCACCAGGATGCCAACTTGAATGCCAATACAAACTCAACTGGAACTATGTTGAAGATTCTGACGATATTGAGTTTTCTTTGGAAACTAAAATGGCTATCAATTCATGGACTGGAGTTGGATTCAGCGCTGATGGAACAATGGTTGGAGCTGATATGATTATTGTCAAATCTTTCAATGGTGAACTGTCTGTTCATGACATGACCAGTGATGGATATGGAGCTCCAAAGCTTGATGAACAGAATGATGTTACTTCGGTAGTTGGAACACATGAAAACGGAATGCTTCGTGCCCAATTCATTCGTAAGAGAAATACCGGAGACAGTGCTGACAAACAGTTCACTTCTGAGTGCTGGAAACTAATGTTCCCAGTTACCGGGGGAAAGTTGGATGAGGTGAGAAAATTGAAAATTAAAGAATCGCCGACAATTCAAAGTTTCAGAGCGGAAACGTAACAATTCATGTGGACACACCAGTTGTCTCAGATAGACAGGTCTGCATCCGCAACTGCAATGAAGACAAAAAACCAAACTCTGGTGAGTAAAATCGAGCAAATAGGTTAAAGCGTTTTTCTTTTAGTTGTTAACCAAGCTAAATGCGACACTGAGTACAGATATCCAATCGATTGCAAAGATTCTGATTGTGAATACATTGCTAGATGGAATTATATTTCTGTCAATAAGGAGGTACAGTTCAACATTTCAAGTAGAAACATGGGACGTTGGACTGGAATCGGATTCTCGAGGTAGAATACAACATATAGTGAAAGAGTTTTACCGTTATATACAGAGACGGCCAGATGACTAACAGTGATATCTACACCGGATGGGTTTATGAGAACAAAGCTTTCATAACTGATCGTTTTGCCTACGGACGCCAACTTCCAGCCATTGATCCTGCTGATCGCCAAGACATCTATGACATCAGTGGTTCCATGATTGATGACATGCAGGTAATCGAGAATTAATGTAGTTCCTCATTAATTCACAATTTTTAGACCATCTCCTTCAAGCGCAAAGTAATCACCTCAGATCCGCTTACCGATTTCCCATTGGATGAATGCTACTACTTCATGTATCCAATCGGAGGTGGTCGTGTTATTGCCAAGAAATCTAGCGATTTCAGCAACCCTCGTACTCCAATTGGTATGTTTTGGCTGTTTTTCGAATCACAAATCCCCTCTTACTGGCTTCTACTCATTTTCTTCACGTCACTTGATGTGGGAGTGAATGACAATATTTGCCACTAAATCCTTGTGAAAAGTTCTGTGAAAGTTCAATCGGAAATTTCTTTGCAGGTTATCACGATTTGTACCAGCCACGCGTTAGTACAAACAAAATCTGTCTCTGTGATGAAAAAGGAGTGTCTATAGCTGTTGATAAGAAGCCAATTCGGGTCAGAGTCCGTAGACAAGCTCTCCAAGTGTCCACTCCAAAACGTGGTAAGTTTTTGACAATTTTTCTAGAAATAGTTTCAAAGAAAACTGATAAAAGTACGGAAGAATCTATCAGGGAATGATAAGATTCGAAGATTTGGAGATAAGACAATGAGAGTTGTAGACGAAAGGAAATCTCACCAGATTTTCGATTTTATAAAATGAAACTTAGATGCCGTCATCCAAGCAGCACAAACTCGAATAAACTTCAACCTAATTATTTTCAGGAAATGATATGGAATGTACTGATATGGTTGTCGGAGCTGTTATTGATGGAAGAGGAAGAGTGAAAGATTTCTATTCTCCAAGTAAAGCTACTCCACGCCCTGACAGCTTCTTCGGAGGAGAAGAATCTCTACAATCATCTGCCGCCTTCTTCGAAGATGGAATCACAACCGTCGTCTTCAGAAGAAAACTGAAGAGTAAGCAAAAGCCAGACGACTTCATTTTTTTAAAATTTTTTTTAGGCGAAGACAAATATGATCACTCCATTGCCCCAGGACCAATGACTGTCATTTGGGCTAAGGGAGCTGATGTTGAGAACTACCAACATACTACCGGAGGACCAGCTATCCAAGCTGATCCAAATTTCTTCATTTCCGGACTCTTCAAATACCACGGCAAAAATCAACGTGGAAGTTTGACTGTTGACTTCTTCGAAGGTTCTTATAACGTTATTAAGTTTTCTCAGTTTCTAATTGCAGACAAGAAAGTTGAGCCTACCGAGCACGGAATCCATCTCACTCAATCTACCTGCACCGGAACCTATTCTCACCCAGACAAATGTGTAGGAGATTCATGCGAATACGTCATCTCATGGATGAGTGATGGAACCACCGCAAGATTCACTGTTAAGACCTCATTACGTGAAAGTGAATGGTCTGCTCTTGGTTTCTCTACGGACGGAAGCATGGCTCAATCTGATGTTATCATCATGGGAAGCCAAGATGGATTAGCTACCGTCACAGATCAATTCATGCCTCATTACGGAAGACCTGTAGTTGATGAGCAACAAGATATCTTTGATGTCGAAACCTCGTACAACAATGGAGTTCTCATTGCCAACTTCTCTCGTGAACTCTTCAGCGAAGACAAAGATGACATCAATCTCCAGAAATGCGTTTACCTTCTGTACACGCCAACTGCCGGTATTATTGAGAAGAGCGGAGAACTCCGTAAACATGCTGAAACACCTGTTGTTAGTAATAATAAGGTATTTTTGTTACCTTCTCTTTTTTCAAATCAATGTTTTTTCTAGATTTGTCTCGGAACTTGCTCAGTTGACAAGACTATCACCACTGAACATACTCCTAAGACCTCTGATGCTACTACAGCTACTCCAACATCTGAGTTCACCGAGAAGGTCACAGAGAAAACTCCTGAAAAGAAGAGACCTGTGCCAACATCCACTTCTACTTCAACTGCTCTTCCTACCCAACCAGTTGATACAACTCTCGTTCTCAAACCAACAGTTCAAATGCCACCTCTCATCAAAAAACCAGGTACTTTTGTATTTATTATATTCGTGCATAATGGGTATTGTTACAGCTTACACTGTCTATGAACCAACTGAGGCTGTCAAATCCCGCTACCGTCTTTGGGTTCGTATTCTCAACCGCGAATATATTCCTGCTCTTGCTGATCCTCAAACTGAGTATTACCAAAGCTTCACAAAACAAGTCACATCAGCTGTAAGTTTTCCCACACTTGTCTTCTTTTAGTTGTTTTTTTACAACAAGTTTAAATATGTTTACCATTTAAGATTAACGAAATGTTGGATAAGAGATGGAAGGGAATGCAAGTTTCCAAGATCTTCGAGTATTCCAAGGGCTCTGTTATTGCAGAATTCGAGGTGAAACACTTGTCATCGACAATGATACTATTTTGGGTTTTGCAGGTTGTATCCACTAAAGCGGTTCCAAGACCTATTGAAGTCAAGAGTCTTTTGGAAGAAAATGCAATTCGTGGAAAGATTGGTGATTTGGCCATCGAACCTAGCACTGTAAAGGCTAGAGAAATTGGTGAGTTTTTGATGGCTTCGAAAATTACTTGGCCGGAAACGAACATATGTGAACTTTGAATTTTGCAGAGAATCCAATCATGGAGGCTTCTATGTCTCCCGATCTTCTGAGAAACATAATCATCATTGGCAGTGCTTCCATTCTGCTCATTTTGGCAATCGCTTGTACATGCTGTTTGATTTGTAAATGTAGATCCACAAGACGTTATGTAAGTACTTTTCACATGGAAATCAAAGAAGCATCTTCTTTTCAGAACTCTTATCCAATTCCTCATCCAGCTTATCCTTATGGAACAAGTAAGTATATTTCATTTTCATTCCATTCAAATGAAATCTTATCGTTAAAACAATGTCTTTGCTTTCAGTGGGAGTGAAAAAAGCTCCTTTGGGCTTCGATAATGCTGCTTATCATCCACGCCATTATTCTCAGACCACAACAGCTTCTACGAAACCAAGTGGACAACCAAGTCCACCTGGTCCAGAAGAGGGAGTTCCTGATGGAGTAGGAGAAACCACATATCAAGAGTGGTATTCAAAGGTAGTTTCCATCTTCAGTTAAACAATCCACGAGTAAGCGGATCTTCCGTTTGGTATTATTCACTCATGTTTTGCTCTGCTCTCTTGTTATCTTCCGCACTAAAAATAGCTGAAATAACACACAATTGATTGGCTTGGAAAACTAATGCCAAAAAAAGGGCGAACATAACGGAGAGATCGAGAAGCAGGGACTGAGTGGAGAGACGTAGAGAGTCAAATAAGAACAACAAGGTCTAAGACAAAAACAAAATATGTCTTGTTTAAGGTTGGATCGAAATCACAGCAACATGAAGAAGCTTTATCAGCTCCTCCTCCACCTGTGCCTTCAGGCACTCGGCCACCCTCGACACAGCCCTATGTATCTTACCCCAACGATCCATCTGCCTATTATACACTGGGCGGCGAGCATCGAACATCAGTCAATCGCGAACAAACTGGACAAGCTCAACCAAAGTTGTATCGTTATTAAAACATAACCATTCTCACAATATTATAACTTGTATTGTTTGCTGTTCTCTGTCGGTTAGTGTCGATAGCAGCACGTGTACGTTGTTATTTTTTTTGTTTCCTCCAGATTCTTTATTAGACAACTTCTTGCCTTGTCGCCTTCTTTCTCTCTCTGTCTATTGTTTTTTTTATTTATTTTTGCCATTCCGTATAAGGAACTCCTTTCTTTCTGCTCCATTCGACGACGTCCTAGTCGACGTCGTCAGCAAACACGAAAAACACGAAAATTGCCCACATAGTTTACAGATTTACAGCAGACGACCTATCTCACGCTCATCTAGTTTTCGAATTTTGTTGTTTTCTCCATGTAGTTGTCCATTCACTGAACGAACTTTTGCCATTTTGTATAATTTGTCATCTGCAATCGCTAAAGAGCCCTTAGATTCCATTGATCTGAACGATGTCTATGTATGTCACATTCCAGTTTTTAGCTTTCTTTCTACTTATCTACCGTCCGAGTGAGTGTGTTTGATACATTTTCACTTTGACTTTTCATACACTTTTCCAAATGACGTGTTTATTGTTACCAACTGTGTTTCTCCTTCTTCATCTTCAAATTTACATGTGATTTCTTTGACTAAGAATCAAAAAGATTATTTATTGATAAATATATCCATCTAATTGTCAAGTTTTTATGGTCCAAACTGATGTCTTCTGGAACATTACACCCATATCAGCACTTTTTAATGCTAATCTCTTAAATTTCAGCTGTTTTACATCTTAATGGCTGATTCTCCTCTTTGACAGCTCATACAGTTCGCTTGACAAATGACAAACAACTCACCGAATAAATCGATTGCCTTTCTGATTTGTCACTCTTTTATTTTTTATGAATCCGTCGTTAATTTTCACCATTGATCTCTTTCATCATTGAAATCTTGATGACTCTCATCCGTTCTTCATTCTCTCTTCTCTCTCATTGATGCTCTCTCTTTCTTGTCTTTCTAACTGTTCCAATGAATCCAGAAAATTTTGGAAGAAAACTGAAAAATAATGCATAAATTCAACGCATATATTCCTATGCGAATTGTCGTTATTCGCATCGCAAGGATTTTCTCTGTCACAGCTCTTTTTCCGCGTCCAACATGCAAGGCTTGGGAATAGCAGCAGTAAAGGTTTTGAAAATATGCAAACAACTTGTAGCAGTATCCTTTTTTAGTAAGCAGATATGTGAATGCCCGGAGCTATAACAGATGCTTCCATTATTGAGCTCTTTATAAAAGCAGATTTTCCTGTGCAGAGAGGTAGAGTCGCTTGTGAGAGAGCGAGAGTGTCGTGTGCATGTGAGGAAGCAAACCACCTCTATCAGGTGCTGTTGAGAGAAACTTCCTGACGTACAAAAGAGACTAATCAATCTGATGAATTTTCAGTAATCACCCGCGACATGTTCAACATGACATGTACGTGAAACAATTATTGATTTACGTCAATTCGTACGTCGACGACCGAGATCACTTCTATTTATTTTCCCCTGACGGCGGACGATGATCGGTTGCTTTCTGCTTGCTTCTTAACCTCACGCTCGTTTCGAACTTTCCTTTTCCTCTTTTCATCATCACTCTCTGCTACTTTGTTTTCCTTTTTTCCCAATAGTTTTTTTTTCTATTTATTCATCAGTTTATGAATAAATAATGGACAAAACTATATTCTTAATCAACAGTTGCTCTGTGTCCGTTTGAAAAAAAAGGTAGGGAAGGTGCGTTTTTCGAATTATTTGTTTTCGCGCCTTTTGAGATCGAGCACTCTTTTTAATGGTTCCGTGGCGATAGGTACGATAAGCGACATTTGCGCTGTATAGAATACGTGTTAACCTGTTGAAATTAAGTATTCATACGATTAGTAGCCATGATTTTCGAACTTCTCATGTTATCAGCTTATCATGAAAGTTTCTAGCACACTAACGATGATGTACTTCAAACTTACATTTGTTGGGAATTCGTTGGACTAGGAGAAGGTAGTTTTCAACAAAACTCACGAGTCATCTTTTTTGTTTTTCTTTATCTCTTACTCTCTATTGAAACGCATTATCATTCCATGGCTCTTCGCTCTAGACGAGCATGTGTAGAGCAGCAACAGTTGACTCATCTTTATCTGTCTGTTTCTCTCCGGTCTTTTCTCCCGTTCCAACCCCTCCCGTCTCCTCCCACTTGTCGTGTTGCTCGATCTGAGCGTCTCTTCAATTATGTTTATGTTTGCTAGCTGTGTTTTATCACCAACTGCCTTCTCCATTGGCAATTACTATAGTTTCATGTCCTTAATAAGCCAAGATATTTTTGCTTTTGCCACTTATTTCGCAACTCAGTACATATCGTCATGTGACCATTGGGGTGAAATGTGTTGAGTGTTGTGTTCACTTCACTTTTCTTCCTACTCTCCTTCATTACCGTCCTTCTCTCTTCCTCCTGTCTGAAATGTAAAATTTGCTTTCTCTTAGTTTATTGTTTACTTTCATTTGTTGTTTTTATTATTGCTCTCTTCATTATATTGACGTATAAATAACTCATATAGGTCAGGATAAACTCTCTTCTCCTTATTCTTATCCGTCGTCTCATTTTCAGTGGCAGGACTTTCCCTAATGACAATTCTCTTTTCAGATTGAAAGCACCAGTTCTTGCTGGTTCTTCCTACCCATCAAAAATGGGCATTCGCTTTGCTCTATTTGTATTAATATTTGGCTCGTTAGCAGGTTTAGATGCAGCCAACTCGAGACGAGGTTTGTTTTTGAAATTTTTTTTTTTCGCGTATTCCATAATTGTCAAATCATGCTGGGGAGCTTCTCATCTTATCAGTGCAAATGTAGGCGCAAATCTTATCTTTTCGATTGTCGCGAGGAGGAAATAAGAAACAAGCCACTGTTTTTTTGATTTATTATGAAACAAATTCTCGAAAATTGTAGGATTGTTTAATCTGCGAAAGAAATATCTGGCCAATGGTTCGTTGAGTTTTCTTAGCTTCTCGCTTGTGGAACTATAGCATGGTTGCTTTCTTCCACACCAGTTTTGGGCAAAAAGCTCTATTCTGGTGATTGCACGAAGCATACTTTGCACGATCAATACGAATGTGTTTGTATGCGTTGTTTTGGAACTGTTGGAGCTTATGATCATCATATTCAATGCTAGAAATATTTGTTTAACAATCGCTTTTGCCATAAAAAACAGTTTTTTGAATGTAGGAAAACTTATGAAGCCTGTGAAGCTCGAAGATCAATACAGTTGGTACAGACCAGCACTTGATAATTAGTAGTTGCGTTTTTTCTGCGCAAATTGTTTGTACTTCTCCTGCTGTGCGTAATTTTGAGAAATTTCAGCCTATAACCGAAATCAAACCTTCGCTTGTGGAGATTCAAATCGTCGTATTCCCATCAGTTGGAAATGCGATGGAGATATAGACTGTGCCAAGGGTGAAGATGAGGCGGATTGCAACAGTACGTATATCTATTGCTTGACCCATGTAAAATGATATCTTACTATAGAACATTGTTCGGACCAAGAGTTCCAATGTCTTGGAGAACAAAAGAGACCTGACTTCAAACCCGAAGCTCCTTCATGCATTCCCAAGGATTGGGTGTGTGACGGCGAGTACGATTGCGATGATCGCAGTGACGAAAGGAACTGCCAGAGTATTTCAAGGTTATCGTAACTTTTTTATATCTCTCATTTCAGATCTTACGTGTCATGCTGATCAGTTTGCTTGTAGCGAGTTTGACGGGAACTACAAGTTGTGTATTCCGCTTACATGGAAATGTGATGGCCAGGTTTGATTAAAGTTTCTTTTTTGCGAAACGACCTTAATCTATAGAGAGATTGCGCTTCTGGTGCTGACGAGGAGAATTGCGAGGAAAATCATTGCCAGGATAATGATTTTACGTAAAGTTCATTTTTGAGAAAAAAAATTGACCAAGAATTTGTCAGTTGTGATAATGGCATCTGCATTTTCAAAAGCTGGGTGTGCGATGCTGAAGACGATTGCGGCGATGGATCCGATGAAAAGAATTGTAACAAAACCGCTGAGCAAATATGTAATGAGAAAAACTTATTCAAGGTTCGAGCCTTCTTTTGAACTTGTTTTACAATATTTTTCAGTGTAAAGCTGCTGAGGGATGTATTCCTAGTGACTGGAAGTGCGATGGTGAAGCTGATTGCTTAGATCATTCTGATGAACGTAACTGTAGCCATGTTCAATTCACTTGTAAAAGGCCAGAAACGGTAACTTTGTCTCTGTGGGAAACCTTGTTTACTGTTTTTTATAGCAATTTGCTTGTGCATCTGGTCATCTCTGCATTAACTCTCTGTGGAGATGTGATTTCGAGCCTGATTGTCCTGATGGAAGTGATGAAGTTGGCTGTGAGGGTGTTCGGGATTGTTTGGCTGATGAATACAAATGTAGTAACTCAGTGTGTATTTCCAAAGGATCTGTGTAAGTTCTTTTGTGTTGAAGCGTTTGATTGTAACGGATTTCAGATGCGATGGCCGTCAGGATTGTATGCTGGGTGAAGATGAGGAAAACTGTCCTGGTAACGACACAGGTTTGTTTTTCATTCAAGATAGAAATCCAATAAAATGTGCTCATTCAGTAGTGTCATGTGACAAGCACCTCGAATATGATTGTGGAGATTCCAAATCTGACAAGCATATTTGTGTCAAATTGAAAGACATGTGCAAGGATGGTAAACACAATTGTGGAATGGATGATGATATCTGCTTCCATGATATTCGTAAGTAGTAACACATCGAGGAAGATATTAGTTTTCATATTTCAGTCACTTGTAAACCAGGCTCTGACAACTGTGATTGTCACGATTCATACTTCAAATCTAACAATACAAAAACAAAAGTTTGTTACTGTCGAAATGGTTATCGATCAGATGATGCCACACCAACATCTCTCTGTCGAGGTGAGAAGTTCAGAGCACGGGAGTTCATCATTTCAATGTCTCAGATATCAATGAGTGTGAGGAAGAAG